GTGAACACGAGTGTGAGTGTGTGTGAGCGCATGCCAGTGTGCGTGTGTGAGTGTGCACTGTGTGTGAACACTAGCGTGTGTGTGAGCACGTGCCAGTGTGCGTGTGTGAGTGTGCACTGTGTGTGAACACGAGCGTGAGTGTGTGAGCGCATGCCAGCGTGCGTGTGTGAGTGCGTGTGAGTGTGCACTGTGTGCGAACATGAGCGTGAGTGTGTGAGCGCATGCCAGTGTGCGTGTGTGAGTGCGTGTGAGTGTGCACATGTGTGAACACGAGCGTGAATGTGTGTGAGCGCATGCCAGTGTGCGTGTGTGAGTGTGCACTGTGTGTGAACATGAGCGTGAGTGTGTGAGCGCATGCCAGTGTGCGTGTGTGAGTGCGTGTGAGTGTGCACGTGCATGCCCCATGGGGGCCTCCCTGCCGTGGTTTTTGTCTTGTGGCGCTTTCCGCCATGGACTCCTTGTCTCTTTCACCATAAGGACCCCAGAGCCCTCCTCCCAGAGCCCTCGGGAACCCCTCCCCGCCCTGGAGCAGCTCCATCTCTGGTTCAGTCCCGCTGAGGGGGGTGGCCCCGCGCACTGGGTTTCCTCAGCCACTGCCCAGGAGACCCCACGAGTGACCAGGCCTCCTGCCAGGGTCAACCTGGGCCTGGATCCCAGGGAGCTGGCTGGCGTGTGCAGGTCCCTGCGTCCCTCTGTGAGGCGTGCCCAGGCGTGCTGTGTCCTAGGAAGAGCCAGCGTTTTGCTGCTCCCTGGCCCTGACCTGGATTTGTCTCAGGCCCCAACTCTGGAATTTTTTAGCCTTGTTCTCAATGGCACTTGTCGCAGAACGGGTTTTAAAAATAGGGTTGATTTATTGCTGGAGGGTGATGGGTACAGGAGGGGGTTGGAGCAGCTGCTCCTAACTCAAGCCCTGCTGGGCCCCCACACGCATCGCGCCCACCCGGGTCCCCTCCCCACAAGGGCTTCCCGTGAGACCAACGGAGCTGCACTGCTGGGGAGGCCTGAGTGTCGGGGGGCGGGGGGAGCTGCTTGTCACACGGCATTGACTTCCACCCTGTTCTGTTCATGTTTAGGAAACAAGATCAGTGACTTGGGTGATGTGCTAGTGTCCCGGGGCTGCTGTAACAAAGCACCACAACCTGGGGACTTTGAGCAACAAAAATTTATCCTGTCACTGTTCTGGAGGTCAGAGGTCTGAAATCCAGGGGTCTGCAGGGCCACCCTCCGTCTGGGGCTCTCGGGGAAGGTCCTTTCTGCCCCTTCCAGCATCTGGTGGCCCAGGTGGCCTTGGCCGTGGCCGGCGCACTCCAGTCTCTGCCTCATCTTTGTTCACATGGCTCCCTCCCCGCATGTCTGCGCCTTCTCTTGTGCCTTATGAGGACACTTGCTATTGGGTTTAGGGCCCACCGGATAATCCAATGATCTTATCTTCAATCCTGAACTTTACATCTGCAAAGATCCTGTTCCCAAATAAGGTCACCCACACCCTTTGGCAACTGCAGACACATGAGGTGCTCATTGGTTTGCAGGTGCAGGGCGTGGTGCCTTCGTAGACACGGTCCAGAAAGATCAGGCTGAGAGGTGGTGGCAGCACATCAGGAAAGAGGTCCCAGGGACAAAAGTGGGGTCCCACACTCAGGTCCCCCAAACCAACCTTGCAAATGCAAACGCCCAGGCTGGGGAGGTCCCGCTCGGCAGCCGGAGGCTTAAGGACGGTGAGGAGCTGTCACGGCAAATCCAGCTCTAGGCCAGGAGTCGGTAAAGTAGGGTCTCTGCACCAAGTCCTGCCGCCGCCTGTGCCGTAAACACAGTTTCACCGGCTCAGCCGTCCACGTGGGTGCTGTCCAGGCTGCTCGCCAGGGCAGTGCTTGTGCCTGTTACAGGAGTGTTGGCTGACACCCCTCGGCTGTGTTACTGGCAGCGTAACTTCTTGAACAAAGGAGGTGACGGTCTGGTGCTGCTGTGTCAGGCTGCTCCTAAAGCAGCGGCTTGCCTTTGACAGAGCGTCCCGGTCCTCCTCTGTGCTGACGCTGTGCCCGGCTTCATGTTGTCACTGGGCATAAGCAGAGGGGGACAGCCTTCAGGAGCTCAGAGCAGAGAGGCAAGGGGACAGATGGCTGCGTAGAAAACCGCCTGAGGGATGCTGCAGCGGAGGTAGTTGGGCTTGGAGGCCGGTCGGAGGGGCCTCTTGGTGGCATCTAGGTGAGCTTTGAAGGAAGCTGGAGCCAAGAGAGGGTCTCGGCAGGGCCGGGCTGTGGCAGCCGGGGCCCGAGAGGGCAAAGTGGGAGGCGTGTGGTCCAGGGGGAGTGTGGGGGTGAGCGGGGCTGGGGACAGCATACGTCAGGGTCCCCGAGGGCTGAAGAAAGAACTAGGCTTTGATGCCCAGTGAAGGGCACGGCACAGGGTGTCTTCGCAGGGTGGCTCAGGGGCTGAGCAGGGAGGCCTGTTGTAGGTCAGGAGAGAGGTGGGGGCCTGGCCCGAGGGGGACAGCCCAGGAGAGAAAAGGTTCCTGGGGCAGGACCGAGGGCCACCCCATTGGCTACAGGAGGTGGCAGCGGGAGCGCCACAGTGTGGAGTGGGGCCACGGGGGAGGAAGGGACCCCAGCTGGGGCTCTGGGTGACCAGTGGCCAAGGAGCCAAGACAGCTGAGGTGCGGCGGTGAAAGGTGGCAGACGGCCTGGCAGGTGCCTGCCATGGGCAGAGGTCCTGGTCCCCTCGGTGCATGGGTGGCTGCGTCCATGGGAAGCCAACCTGGCAGCGTCACAACCTGGTCACATGGACAGACGTGTAACTGAAGGTGACGTGCGGGAGTATGGGGACAGGTGCTGAGTGCTTGCTGCACGCGGGGACTCCACACACCTTCCCGCATGTGGTCATCCCGGCATCGCCACAGCTGTGGGTCCTATTGTCCCCATGTTACCGACGAGAAAACCAAGGCTGCGAGCTCCAAGGGCCTCCACAAGGCCACACGGGTGGGAGGGCAGAGCAGGGGCTCCCACAGGGCCGCGCTGCTTTGGGCAGGACCCACGGTGTGGCAGGGTGCAGTGTGGTCCCTGTGGGGCATGACAATCCTCACTGGAAATGTCTTCAGCTGTCCTTGTGGTTGTGGCCAAGCTTTTTGGGTCTGTGGCCCCTGGAGGCAGAGGCAGCCCAGGCCTGCCCTGCAGCCCCCTGATGACACCCCTGGGCCACAGAGGGCCAGGACCCAGGTCGTGGAGTTCCCTGCCCAGGGCTGCCTTTAGTATCTGTACCCCGAGCTCAGTGGCTGTCCTGCATCCCACGTGGAAGTCCTCTCAGTGTCATGCATGTCCCTTAAGATTTCACTTATGGGGTGACATGTTTGGGGGGGCCACATCCTGTTTGGCCGCCTCGTCTGTTTGTTCTCTCTGGGCCGGCTTCTTGCCTCTGCCCCGAGGCTCCAGAGGGAGTGGCTGTGCTGGCCGTGCTGGGACACCGTGCTGGGACACCATGCTGGGACACCATGCTGGGACACCGTGCTGGAACACCGTGTGGGAGTCCCCGGTGGGCAGGGGCAGCTCTGTGGGTTCTGGGTGGTTTTTCTTTCTCAGGCTGGGAATGCCTTTGCTTTTTTCTAGTTATAAACATTTTAGACACTGCGGACAGGTTGTCAACAGGAAGTGAAAGCCCCCGTCCCCTGGGCCCCTGGTTTTGCAAATAAAGCTTTACTGGCACACAGGCACTCCTGTTGGTTTACTGTCTGTGGCTGCTTTCGTGTGGCAACGGCAGCATGCAGTAGTCACGGCAGAGACAGTGTGGCCCCTGCACCCTCTGGCCCCCACGGAGAAGGCTGCCGGCGGCTGGTCCCCAGGGCTGCACAGGCCCCTCTTGCTTTCACGGGCTGGGTCTGGTCCTGGCGGGCTGGGCTGGGCAGGGCAGCAAACGTGGGACTCCATGGCCCTGCTCTGGATTCCGCTACACAGTGAATGTTTGAGTCAACTTCGGTTGGGATTCTGGTTCTCGCTTGGGTTTGCTGGTCCTGTTCGAAGAGACTTAGCATGGAGACCCCATTCTGCGGTCCTCTCTGGGGGTGTCCTCCACCCTCTGCTGCGTACAGACAAGGGCCTTGATTTACTGAGCTGCATGCAGGATTTGGGGGTGTCTCACAGTAAATGTTGGCATTAGTCCGCCAACCTACGCCCTCGTCAAAGACAAGGCATCTGGGGCCAGTGCTGCGGGGGGCCTGGGTGGGGAGGAGGCCTGTTATCAGGGCTGGGCCATCGGGGAGGGCCAGGGGCTTTTCTCGCACTGTCCTGCCTGTTCTCTTGGGCAGGTGTTCTGTGCCATCCACAGGGGTGTCTCCCAAGGCCACGCAGGGGGCAGTGCGTGCTGGGTTTTAACTATGCCCCCAGGGCCAGGTGAGCTGCACCGGCTTGCTCTGCCATGTTGGTGTGACAGTGATGACAATTATGACGCTGGAAAATGGGATCTTGGGGACAGAGACCGGAGCTGTCCCAGAGGGGCTGGGAGGCGAGAGTCAGACACGTTCTCTGCAGCCGGGGAAGAGACAGGGGCCTTCTGCACTGGACCGTGGCCGACAGTGACTGGACAGAAGGCGGCTGGAAGGCCCAATGACCCCTCCCCCACGCCCCCCGGGGCTGGAGCTCAGGCCACAGCCTGGAAACCAGGAAAACTAGAGGCAAAAAGCTGGGTGTAGCAGGGAGCGGGCCCAGACAGCAGGGCTGAGGTGGAAGGCCAAGCTGCTGGGCGGGCTCCGTGCCACTGACCACAGCTCCTGCAGCCCTGAGTACGGCCTGGGTGGGCTCCAGGGTCTGGGAGGGGTCCGTCGGGTGGGCTGGGCTCAGCTGTGAGTGTCCCAGGCCCATATCTGCTCCCGTGGCCCGTGTTCATGCAGGGTTGGGGGAAATCATGCTGTTTTAGCACATGAGGAAACGGAGGCTTGGGAGGGTTGCACGGCTGGCCGGGGTCACGTCTCAAGCCCAGGTCTCTTACCAGTGTGCCTCGCCCCTCTGCCTGCACAGACTGTCTGCTGATGCTGGCCTACAAGGACAAGTCAGAGCGCGCCAAGGGACTCCGGGAACGCAGCAGCCTGACCCTGGAGGACATCTGCGGCCTGGAGCCTGGCCTGCCCTACGAGGGCCTGGCCCACACGCTGGCCATCATCTGCCTGTCCCAGGCTGTCATGCTGGGCTTCGATAGCCGCGAGGCCATGTGCGCCTGGGACGCCCGGATCCGCTACGCGCTGGGCGAGGGTGAGTGCCTGGGGCAGGGCTCCAGGTGAAGGCCACCCTCCTTAGGTGTCCCGGGCTGTGGGTGGGCGAGACTCCTCCCCCGCTCTGCCCTGGGCTCTGTGCTCAGGACACAAAGTCAGGGGCACCAAGGCCACTGGCTTTGTTGGGATGGGGAGGAGCGTGGCCAGCGGTCAGGGCCCTCTGAGTACTTGCTGGCACCTGAACCAAGGTAGCTCCTGAGAGGACGGGAGAGGAGGGAAAGCCGCCAGCATGGGCGCCATCCACCCTGAGGCTGCGGCCCTCAGCCGTGCCGTGGGCAGTGCCACCCGCTCATTCGTTTCACAAGCGCCGGTGAGCAGCTGCCCAGGGTGGGGCCGGCGGCCACCAGGCCTTCTCCTGCGATGACGCCCTTTTGCCCCCCGCCTGGCCCCTCAGTGCACAGGTTCCACGTGACGGTGGCACCGGGCACCAAGCTGGAGAGCGGCCCGGCCACCCTCCACCTCTGCAATGACATCCTCGTCTTGGCCAGGGACGTCCCTCCAGCCGTCACGGGGCAGTGGAAGCTGTCTGACCTCCGGCGCTACGGGGCTGTGCCCAACGGATTCATCTTTGAAGGCGGGACCAGGTGTGGGTACTGTAAGTATGCCAGGGCGTGGGGACGGGACTGGGGACTGGGGCGTGGGGGCCGGGGCTTTCCCCGAGGACTCCCGGCTTCGAGCTGACCGCGCCCGCATGCTTGCCAGGCCAGGGTCTCCGGAGCCCTGGGAGGCGGCTCTGGGTCCACACAGCCCGGGGTGCGCGGTCGCTGGGCCACCTCTGCTCTGCTGGAGGAAAGGAGGGGACTTGAGGATGGAGGACGGGTCCTCCTGGCATCTCCCAAGCGAGGCTTCAGGTCACAGCAGACCCTGTGCCCGAGGTTACAGAGCATCAGAGCCACTCATGTTTAGAGTTAATGGGAAAAGAGAAAATAAAAATAATAAATGTGTTAGCCAGGATGTGTGACTGCCCCTGTGGGCGCTGTGAGGAGAGAGCCGTGCTCATGGACCCAGAATTCCTGATGGACACACCTGTCCTGTGAGCGCCGCAGCTGTCCCGGTGTCACCGTCGAGGTGGCAGGGCTGTGTGTGAGCCCCTTCTCCCCTCTCTCCAGAGTGGGAGCTGCTCGTCTGTGTGGGCCACCTGGGCTGAGCAGCCTCCTGGGGACCTGACCCCATTGTGGGGACATGATGGCCTTGGGCAGTGTGCTGGGTTGGAGAGGACGGGCCTGGTGCAGCCCGTTTCCCTGACCCTGGGATCCCCGCCAGACCTGCGTGCAGATGCGCGGGTGGAGGCTCGGGCCATCTGGCTGGGACGCAGGTAACCTCTCTCTACCTGCTGGCCCGTAGAGGGGGCATTAACCCCGACCTGTAGGCTCAGCTCAGTGTGAGGATGTCCTGAGACCGGGATGGGAAGTGGGTTGCACGTGTGCTTGGTACGGACAGAGTTGGATGCGGGTCTGCCGGGCTCCGGGGCTTCGGCAGTGTCCTGGTCCCTCCGGGCAGAGCAAGTGCAGGTGGGGACGGGTCGTGCTGGACACTGGCCCAGCCCTCGGGCCCCTCCTCTTCAGCGGGTCAGAGGCTGCAGCACTCGGGCGTCGGGAGCAGCGGGGACGCGGGGTGACCTGCGGCTGGGTGTGTCGGGTCGGCCCCACTTCTCCCTTCTCAGTCGAGTGGGGGTTGGGAGCTGCTGACCACGGTGCTTGGGCACGAAGTGGCCTGACCTCCTGGGGGGCCGTCGACTTAGGGGCTCAAGGAGCTGCTTGGAGCACCAGGAGGAGGGGACCCTTGTCCTCTTTTCTCTCTGTGGCAGGCAGACAGCTGGGGTGGCACTGGCATGCCTGTCCTGCGAGCTGGCATGGGGCAGCAGTGCCCATTTATTCTGTCCCGGAAGAAGCCCCCTGGATGGCTTCCTCCGAGACCCCAGAGATAAAATCCCGCCTGCTGGTGTGGGTGGGCTGCTTGTGAACAGTTCCGGGCACTGGTGCAGCGGCTCGGCTGCTGTGCTGTGTTCCCTGGGCTGCCAGAAAGCCAGGGTCAACTATCATAGGGCTGTCCCCTGCCTCTCCTGAGCAAGGTCCTAAATTAGCTCCATCCCGCAAAGCTGGGGCTGGCCCAGCAGACTCCGTCTCTAAATGCAGCCCTCAGTGCCGAATATCCTCGGCCCACTGCTGTCGTGGGGTAAACACCCGCAGGTCCTCGTCTGTTGTGCATGCCAGTAGAGACACAAGGACAGGGCTTTGTGCTTGCAGCAGAAAGGAGTTCTACTTGGGTCGCACAGCCAGGAGCAAGGCCGTCTGCCAACCCAGCCCAAGCCCCCGAGCAGGCAGGGGTTTTGCGGACCCAGCTCCTGGAGCTCACACGTATTTAACAAGGGCTGGGGTATCTGTGTGCATATTTATGTAGGGATGAGCGCGCACACGCAGTGCGGTGTCATGCATGCTACACGCGACCCATGTTCTCCTGGGGGTGGAGATTTAAGCATTTAAACGATGGTGGGTTGGCCTTGTGTCATCAGAAGATGAAATTTTGGGCAAAGGTGACACTACTGTGCAAACTCACTGACTTGGTCAAAACTGGTTAGGACTAACTGGGGGTCTGTCCTGGGGTGTCATCGCCGGGAGGCTGTGTCACCAGAGCAGCTGAGAGAAGGGGAGGAGAGAGACTGATCGGGGAGGGAACGAAGCGGTGGCTCCATCCACGGTGGCCGCGGCACCAGGCAGCAGGCGCCTTGGAGATTCTGTCTTCTCTCCAGCTCCAAGCCCTGCTCAGACCCACGCGGGGGCTGGGGACACCGTGCAGGGTGAGCAGGTTCTGCTGTCTGTCCCTCTGTCCCCACAGGTCCCACTGGGCTCCGTTCTACCACAGAGACAAGAGCTGATGTAAACTGGCTTTTAGACTGTCATGGGAACCTGCCTCAGCCTGGCAAGGATGTCCTCCTTGCAACGGGGTGGCAGGGCTGGGTGGCCAGAGAGACCGTGGGTCCACTGCACATGTGGTCACACCTAGGCCGTCCTGGGAGAGGGAGCCGCAGGTTAGTGTGGTCCAGGAAGCAGAGGGAATCCATGTCCTGGGGCTGCTGTGACAAATTACCACAAACTGGGGGCCCAAAGCAATTAGACTTTGTTCCTCACAGACTGGGACCCGTGGTCCTGCGTCCGTGGGTCAGCCGTCACTCACTCGCTCTGGAGACTCCGGGGCGCGGTCCTTTCTGCCTCTTCCAGCTCCTGGTGGCTCCAGGTGCACCTTGGCTTGTTGCTGTGTTGCTACAGTCCCTGTCTCATGAGGACACTGTCACTGGATTTAGGACCCACCTGGCTGATCCAAGATAATCTCATCTCCAGACCATTAACTTAATTACTTCTACAAAGACCCTTTTTCACAGATTCTGGGATGTGAACATATCTTTTAGAGGCCACCACTCAGCCCATGACAGTGGCTGGGACTGTGAAGGTTCTAGAATATGGGTCATGATGAGGCTGTGGGCCTGGTCACATTTCATTTGAGGACAGATAGCTGGGTGGAGTCACCGGAAGGCCCTGGAAGGCCTGGGTGTGTACAATCAGCATTCTCTCCCTCCCTGGGGACAGGTGGCCGTGTGGCCCCTGGGCCTCTAGAGCCACCTCTTGGCACCTGCCCCGGCCAGCTCTCCAGTGAGCAGAGAGTGTGACCCTGACCCCAAACGCTGCTCTTCAGCCCCCCTTTGACTCCCCCAACATTTGGCATGACTGAGTGTCCTGGTGGACGTGGGGGCGGGGTCAGGGCAGCATGGCCTGCGTGGTTTTGCACAGACCCCTCAGGTCCTGGCTGGGTGAAGGGGCTCGGATGGTTTTCATGACTCGTGGTGGATGTTTTGTTTCTGGACCCCGAGTGCACGGCCGCTCACTCACAGGAGGAGAGAAGCGTGGTGGGTGTCAGGGAGCCTGGGCCCCCGCCGTGTGGCTGCATTCTCTGTCCCTCTGCTGGTCACGGGCCTATGTGTGGAGGCCGGGCCCACACAGGGGCACACGTGGGTGGTGGAGGGAGACACTGAGGACCCCTGCCCCGACAGGCTGAGCCGCAGGCACAGAGAGCGTGGGCCCGGGAAGGGTGCACGGCCTGCAGTCGAGAAGGGAAGGCTCTGGGGCTGGGGGACGCCTGAGCTGGGTATGAGGATGAATGGGAGCTTCTGGGGGACAGGACCAGGGACGAAGTCCCGTCCCCACATCTCCAGTCCGTGTGAGCCTGGCCATTCCTCAGAAGAACATCCTTGGGGCTGAGACCTCAGCGGGTGGCACAGAGTGGGTGGAACCAGCTGGTGCCCGCATCTCATCAGAGGCACATGGTGACCGCCCTTTGGGGACACCCCCATGCCCACCCTGATGCTGGCCAATCAGCGGAGCCCCCTCCCCAGAGGCGTCCCCGGGATGAGTTCTGTGGGGGAGTCAGGGAGCACATTAAAGGACTGGGGTGGGGGACTGATTTATCTTTGTTCCTCAGCATTGACCCCAGGCCCCGAGCACCACGTTGCTCAGGATCACAGCCACTTGAGGGGTTTGTGGCCCCTTTGGTGGCATGTTACAGGGATACAATTTGATACCCGTGCCCATGTGTGATCTTGACACACAAAATCAAAGTGCACATTTTCATGGGTCTCCACAGGGACGGGGTTGTGGAAACTCAGGAGAAAGGGGACCAGAGGGTTGCCCGGGGGCCCCAGGCTCTGCCACCGGGGCAGCATCAGTGGCTGTCAGGACTACCCCAAGATTCTCCTCTCCCCAAAGGGGCCAGCCCCTCCCGGGGCAGCCTGGGACTTTGCATCTCCGCTGGCACATGCTCTACCTCAGCCCCCATCCCCGCTCCCCCATCACCCCGCTCTTGGGGGACCGTGACCCTGAGAGCCCCCTGCCCCCGTGTGCCGGGCCGCGCGCACCGGCCGCCTCTCTTCCCCTCTCTGGTTCTCCCTTCTCTCTCCTGCTGGGTCCAGGCCGGGACCCACTTCCTCCAGCCTCTTGGGGCACAGGAGCGTTTTTCAATGATTTTGATTTTTTTTTAAAGTGAGTAAAGAAGGAAAACCCCGGACCAGGAGACTCTCTTGTTACATGTAAAACGCTCGGCATCTCTTCAGAGAAGCCCCCTGGTGCCTCCTTTGGACTTTAGACTTGCTGGGTGGCCTGGACAGAGCTGGCTGGCGCTCTGGTCTCTGACCCCAGGAAGCTGGGGGTGGGAGGGGTGTCCCCCGGCTTCCCCTCACCAGGCACTGGGGTGCAGAGATCAGAGCCGGGGAGCCCGCAGCGGGGCTGGGACGACTCAGGGCCTGTGTGAGATGGAACGAGGCGTTTACAGCCCTCAGTGGGCGCGAGGGGAGCTGGGGAGGGGCACAGACCCCAGCCCGGGGGTGTCGGGGAAGCTCTATGGGGAAGGGGAACCTGAGTGGGGCTTCTGCAGAGAGAACAGGAGTTAGCCCAGCTGTCAAAGGGTGCGGAGGGGAAGAGGAAAAAGAAAAGGGCGCTCCAGACACACGTCACGCACGGAACGGATGGGTGACCTGCAGGGCGTGTGCAGGATCCTGCTGGGGGGGTGGCAGGGGGCGAGGTGGAGAAGGAGGAAGCAGTGCCTGGT